CATCCCCACCCGCCCGTACTTACCTACCTACCTACCTACCTAGAGAAAAAAAAAGTGAGAGTGCAGTTTTCGCGGTACGAGTCTAAACGACGATAGACACGTCCCTGCCAATCTTTATTAACCTTTCACTCGGTTGTTATTTTCTTTATTTCTGTTTCAGAGATGGCAAAGAAGATGGTTCGTTCTTTACGACGACGGAGAGTTGACTTATTCGGTCGACGAGCACGTAAGTACCTACTCGTATCGACTTATAATTCAAAGTACGCTAAGACGAATCGAATCCCTTTAAGGGCACCGTCTCTCTGTAAGAGCCACTCCAAGAAGCGGCTTTCGTGTTCACTCGAAAATCCACTTTACCGCTGACAAATCCGTTTATCGTCTTGATACGGATTCCATTGAACTAATCTATTCCGTTATTTTCAACTGTCACTGAGAAAAATGAACACGAATCAGCAGCAGCAGCAGCGTGACGTTTTGGAAAAATATGCATTATCTGTAATTAATTATACAACGTTATTTTTCATTAATATTTTTTCGAATAAAATTTACGTAAAATTGTTTATTGCGTAGAGAAGATATTTGTCAAGGAAAATTGGTTTATCCGATCAGAAATCTCTCATTATGAATAATATTTTACCTCACGTCTGAGTTTTTTTTTTGCAAGAGAATATTAAAAACGGTATGTCGTTCTTTAGCCTGGCGCCTTATGCCAAGAATCATTTTCATGGAATTCCCTTCCGCCCTCGGAAGGTAGAAGAAATGGAATGTGAGAGGAAGATAGAGAAAGAGAGAGAGAGAGAGAGAGAGCGAGAAGGATGAAAGCCCCGACGGTCACGTATTATCATTGAAGTATCATGAACTGTCAGACTTCTAACTTTATAGCCAGGCAGTGAATCAAAAGCTGCCCCGCCAAGTGGCTTCCTCGGAACGTAGAAGCGTCAAAGGTCGAAGTCAATTGTGCTCGACTGACAGGCCGGTTCGCGCTTCCCGACTCCCCACGATCACTTCGTCCTATCTTTCTATGAGATGGACCTTACAAAAGAAGGATACCTAGCGGTTTGTCCATGCGTGATAACATTTCCTCTTCCTAATGTCGATACTTACTAAAGAACGCATTATCATGAATGATATTGATTTAAATGATCGTCTCGTACGATCTTTAAATAGAAATGACAATTTTCCTTTGTGATTCGTATAATCACTGACCGACGTGCGTGCTTATTTGTTTTAAAAATTGTGAAAAAAAATTGAGAAAAATTGTGAGAACATTCAGGGTCGTATGTTGTTAAAGAGGGGGTGGTGGAATGTGAGACGAGGTGGGCCCTGGATAGCTCAATTGGTTAAAAGAGCAGTCGCCCGGAAAGCGAAAGATCCGTGGTTCGAATCCCGGTCCTGTTTTTTTCACGAATTCCACATTAATAAAAGTATTACATAATGTAATAATGTAAAAACATAAAAAAAAGGAATTAATAACCAAATTGTTTTGCATAAATAAGACGAAATATAAACCTTATGAGCATGTGTAGCTATTGCAATAATATTTCGAGGTGGGACTAAAAATGTCCCACCGTGCATTACGGTGTATCAAAAAGGTGGGACACTTTTAATCCCACCATGTCCCAAAGAGTTAATGCGCAATTTCCCGGAACAAAGGGAAACACATACCATACTACTAAAAATAGACCTCCCCTGTTCTTTTTCCTTCCTGTTTTTCTTTTTTCTGCGTGTCCTCTTTTTCTAAGTGCACATGTATATGGTAATTTTGGAACCCCCTAAATTCTTTCGCGTGAACGTTTTCAAAGTTTCAAATATCATAAGTCAAAAGACAATTGAGAACAATTCGTTCCATAACGATTCTTTCTCTTCCTTTTCTCATTTTACCGGTCGAAGATCTATTTGATATTCCAAACTATCCGAAGAAGGAAATCCTATTGTGTTTGTAAGACCGATGCAAACGTCTCTAATCTCTTTCGAGTCATTTCGAGTTATTAAGAAGATAAGTCCGAACGTGTATGGGGAATCGGACAGGTCGTTTCTCTTTCTCCGTCTGTTATCTCTGTCATTATCCTTCTAAGGCAACTGAGGGAGATCGCTTTGCCACCGTAGGTCTCATTCCTTTCGGCTATCTCAATCGCGCGAGTCCGTATTTCTGATATTCCGTAAAGTTGTGTGTATTTTTTGTATTGGTCGACCTTGGCTTGTCCTCTTACTAGTAGTAGTAGTAGTAGTAGTAGAAGTAGCAGGAGCAGCAGCAGCAGCAGCAGCAGGTCCTTGGAGGCGTGGTTAGTTCGAAATCGTCATCTCGCCATCGCGAGGTCGCACGAAACTCGCAAAAAGGAAATAGACTATCTTGTTTGCGTGGTGCAAAAGAAGTTCACCTCGAGACACCTTTTCTCACAGTCGTCTTTCTCTCTTGCACACGCGTGTACGTGGTATGCGTGCATGCACGCATATCTCGTTGGCGCCTTGTGCCCATTCCAAGATGAAATCTGTTGTGGTCCTTGATTTCCTGGGCGTTCGAGTTCTTGTAACAAATCCAATCATTCTATTCCATCTTTGAATCCAATTTGATTGTCGACTCGCAATTGCCTTCGCTCTGGTATCGTATGTCAAGCAATAACATGTGTTACAATTGATCATTTATTGTATTAAAAAGAATACTTAGGAACGAGGAATGGTTTTATTGCTTTCCTGGAAGAACAAGACGAGATATGTTTTGTGGTTTGTGTTTGGTGAGCGTATGCGATAAAATTTTGTCGTCTTTGCTTGTACCACAAAGTGACTCAAAGATAACAGAAAGTTCTACCGTTAGCAGAGAGATATGTGAACGCCTGTCTCCATTATCCAGCTGTTCAACCTGCTCGCTTGCAATCAGCCTTTCGAAGGAGATCTCGAGGAGGCTTCGAAGGAGCGTTTTAAACTAGACTAAACGAAGCATGGCTTGCTTGTTGGCTACGGTTTAATGGTACCTCTCTTGCATCTCTCTATCTTTCTCTTACTTGCTTAGATCGTTCGCCCTTTTCGCATAGTCGCTGTTGTCGTCGTCTTCGTCGTCGTAGTAGTTAACAGTTAGTCGGAACACGGAAGCTGCACCTTTACGATTTAATGGAACGCGATGGAGGCCGAAGGAGGAGGACTACTCGTTGAAATTGAGCTTAGAGATGAATGCCACTACGAGTTTTGAACTATAACGACCGGTTTAATGGCTGGCTTAGATTCATTGTATCGGAGCACGCTTCGGTGCTTAAGCTTCGAGATAGGTACTTACTTCCAAAGTAAGTATGCGAGTTCTCTGATCAACGACTCTGTTTATTTACGTGCAACGCCTGTGTCCAGTTAGGTTTCACTCGATTATTTCTCGCCACTATGGCAGCCTTGCGTTTCTAACAGCCTTGCGTTTCTAACAGCGGAATGTTCGCTGTTCCTTCGGCATTCTCTCGACAATTCGACGCTTCAAGAACGAACGCTATTCAAAGGAGAGACCTTACAACGAAATCTTTTTAGATACGTTCCATCTCGAAATTCTTTCGACATTTTTCCTCTGTGCATTCCGTAAAAGAAAAGAGAGAGAGAGAGAGGGGGAGAAGGGACTTATCGACGCCAATGACGAAAAGAAGCGGAGACTCGAAACCGATAGTCGTCCCATCCCTAAGGAGAGCGGGGCAAAAACTCATTTCGAAAATTCCTCGGGGAGAGGTATGTAATTATCTGGGAATAATGGACACCCTAGGCGGTCTGAGTAATTTTCGTCCACTCAAATCCATCCCAAGGGAACCAGTTGAAATATGACGGCCATTTAATTGTCTTCTTATGAGTTCGACTAACAATAAGTTGTCGTTTATCCTTTTCTAACGTTCTACGAATAATCATTTCTCTCATATACAGTGCGTTTCTTTTTAATAACATTTAATAATGGAGAATACATTTCATTTGAAAAAAAGTATAGTTCATCGTTCGTAACAACAATTGATACAACAAACTGGCTTGTTAAAAACGTGGTAGTAATTTGTAGTACTTTAATCCGATGTAAGTCGCACTCTTGGATAATTTATTACAGGTGTAAACGAGACGACGACGACGACGACGACGACGGCGCATAGTGGTCCCAAATCCCGATAAAGTGGTCAAAAAATGAAGTTCTTTGACTGTCTGAAAAATAAATATTTGGGGTCAATTGGGGTTTGCTGATTATGAATCTGATATTATTTTGTTAATAAATAAAATTGACGAAAAAACACATCAATCTACTCTCCATTAGCAACTACATTTGTTATTTATATTAATTTTGAAAAACCTAATTCAATTGTATTTACTACCAGACGAAGATTTCATATTCATATGTTTAAATCGAACAACAAATATTAATTGCACTTTACGCGTTTAAAATTGACCGTCATTTTCGTGGTACAGAACGAGTCACAAATGCGATGTTCTTTACACTCAAGTTTTAACTAATAATTTAAAGGTATGCATACAAACACTTATCCATAACAAATGATGGTTGAAAAAGAGAGTTCATTAAACATATTCCTATAGTTAAAAATAAAAAAAAAAAAAAATTTAGGAGGAAGGAAGACCGAGGTTGGCCTTCGTTTTTGGGATTTGGAAGCACTGTGTGGCGTGTGGCGACATATGAATTATGAGCGTTCCTTTCTTCCTTCCTTCCTTCATCTCGTTACGAAGAGGGGGGGGGGTTACCCTCGAGCAAACCTTTAAATGGAATTTAACGAAAAGAACGAATGTCTGGTGAATATTTTCGAAGATATTCTTCTCGATAAGGGAACAACACCGGAATGTAAATCTTTTAATTGGATCTCTTTTTTTTACTTTAATTAAAATGGTTTTAAAGGACGATTACTTTCGCCGTATCTATCTTTCTTCTTTTTTTTTTCTCTCTCATCGTGTTTAAAAGGGAATCTCGCGCATGAAATATAACGAGGCGTGTCTTCTTCTTCTATCGAATTTTCTACTCGATTCACCGACGACGACCGACCGACCGACCGACCGACCGACCGACCGACCCACCGGCAAAACTGGTCGACCTCTATCCGCTCTGTTGTGTTTTTGTTTATCATTTTCCTCCAGACACATCCTGCTCTGTCGTATTGTTCCCCTCGTTCATTTGCGGCCGATCCACCGAGCCACGGTGGAGAAGGAGAAGAAGAAGAAGAAGAAGAAGAAGAAGGTGGTTGGTTGGGATCGGTTGGTTATTCTCTCTCAAGACGA